ACAGAAAGTTCTGTGACGTCCATTCACAATACCCTATCTGCACAGAAAGTTCTGTATCATCCCCGTACCCTACAGGATTATTCTGTGCGTTCTGTATCACCACCCGTACCCTACAGAATATCAAGGATGGTTCTGTGATACCCCCTGTACCCTACAGAGATTACCCGTACCCTACAGAACCCGCCCTTGCGTGTTTGTGTCTTCGTTATCACACGCATGTTTGCATACTCTCTTTTACAGCCAAAATATTGATTTGGTGACGGTGTTTTTTGGAGCTGTGGTGACGGCATGCGCTTCACGTTGGGACCACAATCACCAAGTTCAACACCACAAGTGTCACCGGCGAGATGACCAAACGAGCGCACGCAACACCTCAGTTAACAACCGCCCGCATGTTTTTTTTGTTGCAGCTGGCAAGATAGCCCCATCTTCGACGACGACATGTTCGGACGCGCGATGGGTTCGGCCGAGAACGGTTACCAGATCTCCGACGGCAGATTCGGGAAGATCTCCGCAATCTACGACCCTTACCACAACCTCCCCGGCAACGGGTTGGACATCGGGCCGCACCACAACGCATACGGCTACCTTAGCGCCACCTACAACTATCAGGTGCGCAGTGGATGGTGGTTTTTGGGTCGTCGAAGTTGACGGTGTTTTTTCTTTAATTGCTGTTGTTTTTGTTTCTGGCGTTTGGATTTATTTTTTTGTGAGATAAGAAAAATGTTCTGCATAGGTTTCAACTGTTGAGACAAACAAAACACTTTTTGACCTCCCTCTTTCTCCCGGACCCCCCGCTCCCTGCGTTTGTGACTTTGTCGTTTTGAACGCGGCCCGCTGGACGACTTTCCGCCAACAGGAGGCTCCGCTGCTCACGCGCACGAGCTCTTTCTGCAACCTGAAGGCCGACTCGGTGTTCGCCACTTCTGACGACTTTTTCGGCTGTTTCAGCGCGCACGACACCTTGGGGGACTGGGAGCACTGCATGGAGAGCAAGGTACGGGGCGTTGGTGTGTGTGCCTGTTGTCGGGGCGGGGCGACTGTAGTGCATGCAGAAAACGTACAATCATGGGAGTACTGCGTGTGTGTACCTCGTCTGGACGACTATATTGCACGTGGAAAAGGTACAATCCGTCTAGGCGTCCTTGTCAGTTGGCCCAGTCCGGATATTTGAAGGTATTACGCGGAGATTGGAAAGACAAGAAAAAAGCATCATCATCACCCAACCCCACTCCCCTCAATTTTTTTTTTTTTGCGACAGGTGCACGGCGATATGCACGGGCTTCTCGGCGGCGCCTTCAAGTGCAACGTCGACATGCACGCGTTCCACGAGGACCACCCCGAGTACACAACGGGCCTCCTTACCTTCGTTGTTGAGTATCTCACCACCAAGTTCTGGCCGAACAACAACTTCATGCCGCCGGGCAGCAACACGTGCGACACCGAGTGCGCGAGCGGACAGGAGCCCTGTGGCTGCACCTGCAGCGTCGACGCCATGGCTCTCTCCGAAGACGAAGTGTGCTTACATTTTTTTTTTTTGCTGTGTTTGTCTCGGAAAATTGGTGTTTTTTTTTTTTTCTCGGAGTATGCGCACAACCGTTTTTGGTTGTCCTCGGAATATTGTGCACGATACTTTTTTTTTTTTATCGAAATACATCAGCACACAACACATGTTCTCTTTTTTTTTATTCTCGGGGCACGGTGCACGACGTCTCCGGAGAACCTGTTGTTTTTGCCCCGGGGGATTGTGTGCACTCGTGTTTGTTGGCACGAAGTATATTTTCGGATGCGATACGCGCCATTTACTGACAGCCTCTCGTGAACGAATCCCCTCTCTTCCGTTGTCGCCCTCTCTTGCCGAATTTTTTGCACGCCAAGATATACTCCCTGACATCAACGTTCCTGAGCCGGGCTACCCAAAGATTTTCAGGACACGCTTATATCTCGTACGACGAGTCCAGCGAACGCCCTTGGGGTTTCCAGCAGGTACGTTTTTTTTTTGTTGAGTTTGTTGCCCTTGTGTCTGTCGGCAACAGCAGCAATGTTGGTTCGCAGACACCGCAGATGATGGGCGGGGAACGAAGAAGTGAGAGAGGTTCATCTACGGCCTCGCGCTTGCTCTCTTTTGTTTGCTTGTTTTTTCAGCAACAGTTGCACCAGTACCTAGAAATTCAGGGAAGAACCGCAGAAAATAGGAGGACCCAAGCAACGAGAAAGCTGTGTAGCTTGTCACCCCCCCCCC